TGCCACGTAAAAGTTCCTTGTGTGGGGGTGGGAGGGTCAGAGAGGCCCCAGGGATGGTGGGATGGGCCTCCACTGATCACTGTCTCAAGCATGTGGTGAGGGAGCAGCACCGTGACCTAAGCGGAGAGGGAAGCCAGGGAGCTCAGGTTCTAGGAAAGAACTAGAAATAACTATTGATGAATTACATAACTAAATCTAATTTTCCTCCAGACTTCTAGGCCACAGGCCATCCTGAGTGTAACTAGAACAGGGATTTGAAACACTGTTTTTATTCATTTACAAGAATCTATAGAGTGCTACCTATCAGGCATAGTGCAGGGAAAAGGAGGGGGGGGTGTCTCTGTGTGATATAAAGGAGAATGAGCCACATTCTATCCATGTGAGTGTTACACAAACAAGTAATCACACCTGAATGTGACAAGTCCTATGATGGAAACATTACAAAGAGCTGCGGGAGCACCTCCAGAGGAAAGAACAATTATATCTAGGGGAATGAGAAGCAGGTCTGTTGGGGGCGACATACCAGTTCAGTTGAATAAACCTGTATCGAGTGTCAGGCATTGGATTGGCATGAGGGTAGGAGGTGGCTAGACACAGAATATCCACCGGCAGGGAGCTCAAAGCTGGGCCCGTGGGTCTAGAAGCACAGAAGTGATAACCTGTTAGTTACAACAGGCGACCAGAGCAGGCTAGCACCACTCTGGGGACAACACAGTGTGTGTGTGTGTGTGTGTGTGTGTGTGTGTGTGTGTGTGTGTGTGTGTGTGTCTTGGAGAAAGGGATGCCTGAGTTAGGTTTTGGATGATAAATAAGACTTTACAGGGTTGCAGGTAGAAAGAAGCGTAAGCCACAAAGACTTTCCAAAGAGAAGCAAAAGTAATAGTATTTATAGAGCATTCATGGGGGGCCAAGCACGGTACTAAGTTATCTCACAGAGCAACTCACCACCCCTTCCCGCTTTTTTTTTTTTAAACATAATCATCCTTTCTTGGCTCGAGGGTGACACTTGGTCCCCAAAAGCCCCACTATACTCCAAGCATGTCTATCTCTCTGTCCATCTGTATCTATCCATCTATCTACCTGTCTATCTATCATCATCATCACCTACATATCCATATCTATCCCAGTGTTTATTCAGGAATCAGACACAGGATTTTCTTTTTCTTTTCTTTTTAAAGACTTTATTTATTTATTTGATAGAGAGAGAGCCAGAGAGCACAAGCGGGGGAGGGGGCAGAGGGAGAAGGAGAAGCAGGCTCCCCGCTGAGCAGGGAACCAGATGCCGGGGCTCGATCCCAGGACCCTGAGATCATGACCTGAGCCGAAGGCAGACATTAAGCCACTAAGCTTTAAGGTGATTTGCTCTGCAGTAAAAGCTAAGCAACATAGGGGGCATCTCTCAACTGTGATGTTGTAATTATAATGTGGAGCATTTTTTTTTCTTTCTCAGAGATACATAAAATAATGGTTCATCTTACAAAGGATTGTGACTTAGATTGGATGCCATACGATATTATACTCACTTGGCAGATAAGAAAGCTAAAGATTAGGGGCATCTGGGTGGCTCAGTCGATTAAGCGTCTGCCTTCGGCTCAGATCATGATCTCGGGGTCCTGCGATAGAGCCCCATGTGGAGCCCCGTGTCAGGCTCCCTGCTCTGTGGGGAGTCTGCTTCTCCCTCTTCCCTTGGCCCCTCCCCCTGCTCATGCTTTCTCTGTCACTCTCTCTCTCTCTCTCTCTCAAATAAGTAAATAAAAAGCTTAAAAAAAAAGGAAAGAAAGAAAGCTAGGGATTAGAGGGTTTCTTGCCCAAGGTCAGGAACCAGTGAGTTGTGGAATTTGAATCCAAGCAGTCTGACTCCAAGCCTTTGTTCTTAACCTGCAAGTATTTCCATCCAGCTGGACAGGAGCCGCGGAGAACCTCTGGGAGCCTCCCAGTGGGAAGAGGGTACACCCGTGGAAGTTACTGCCTAGAGAGCTGTAGACTAACTTGCCCTCATAAAGTTAATGAAATCAGAGGATCAAGTGCACATTAACAATAAAGGGGGTATGGGGGAAGGGAGGACTATGGCTTCAACGAGGGCCGCTGGAGACCATGTGATAATCACCAATAGTTACAGATCGGTGTCAGTTTGGTGGAAACATCCTTTTTCCCTATTGCTGGAAGCCCAGCAAATCTGAGATTCATGGCACACTGTGCCTGCTCTCTAGGCATTAACGGTTTCATGGGGGAGATGGATATATGCCTAACGTAGATGCAGTCTCAAAACAGGCTGAGTGAGGAGCACCCAGCCACTGATGTCAACTCTTTAACTATCCTGGAATTAAAAGCACATTGGCCACTACTAATTGATGTGGCTATCCTTCAGATGACCATGCTCAAAAGCAGTAGATACAGAAGATCTATAATAGTCACAACTCTACAGTTGGCGATCACAAGTGGGAGCTTTTGAGACAAGATCGCGGTCAACCTGTCCCTCAGCTTGTCCCAAAAAGGACCTTGAGTCTCTTTAGCTTCTCTAGAAGATGGTTCAATCGGTGTTCCATAGATTTGGATCTAGCCAGAATTAGCCACAACATTTAAATCAAGCCAAAATGGGGCTGAGAACAACTGATCAGAGACTCAAACTTCCATTAGGAGATTTATTCCACCGCAACATCCAGTTGGCTTTTGTTCTGGTGGCTACAGAAATGTTTGGGGAAAAAAGAAGGTGGAAAAGAGACTTGAGACTGTGTACCTATGTCTTCCCGAGTCACAAAATGGAACCCCCAACCATGGAGTCTGGAACCTTCATTTAATGAGAAAACTGAGGCCATGGGCTGACACCCTTCTAAGGTGGGTACCATTATTCTTGTCTTATAGAGGATGAGATGGGGCTTAATGCCCAACTCTGAAGCCTAAGTTTTTAACCACTGTGCGATACTGCCTACCTTCAAAGTCTTTATTGCGTGGTTATGGGACAACCCCATACATTGTGAAACTTTCTGAAATGATTAGGGAGATAAGTTGTTTTTTTTTTTTTAAGTGTTAGCACTGAAAGGGACCCGAGAAATTATTTCGTCTAGTCCCTTTATTTCCAGAGGAGAAACCTGAACTTGCCGCCCTAAGTCACACAATAGCTTTACCAGAGAGAGTAGGAAGTGAGATGTAATCCCTGGTTGTGTGCTTTTCCCACTCTCAGGTGGTCAGTTACCTGCATTAGGGCTAGAAACCAAGGAAGAGCATACTGATGAAGAGAAAAGTGTCTTGGAGGGGGAAGGGTCTGGGAAGACAGTCAGTGACAGCTATCACATGTTGTGGGTTGAATTGCATCCCATCCTCTCCCCAAATTTATTTGTTGAAGTCTTAACCCCCAGTACCTCAAAATGTGACCTTATTTGTTGATAGAGTTTTCACGGAAGGCATCACGTTAATCCCCCTATGGTGGACCCTAATCCACTAGGACTGGTGCCCTCATAAGAAGAAGAAATGTGGAGACAGGCACATACAGTGAGAACACCAGGTGAGGAGACATAGGGAAAAGACCGTTTTCTCCAAGCCAAAGCCAAAGAGAAATGCCTGAAGCAGATTCTTCCCTCGCTGCCCTCAGAAGGAACCAACCCTGCCCACACCTTGATTTTGAAATTCCAACCTCTAGGACTATGAGACAATGCATTTCTATTGTCTAAGCTACCTGCTTTGTGATCCTTCAGAATGGCAGCCCTGACAAACCACTAGAGCAGACAACTTTGAAGTGCCTAAGGAGGGGCTGAAGGACTGGCTGGAGAAGCAAGAGAAAAATGAACAGGCTAAAATGATGAAATCACGGGTGAGGAGGAAGAGACCTGAGCAGAGAAACCAAGGATTATCCAAGTTTGGAAACCAACAGAAAGGAAAGTGGAGTCCATTTTTAACCCTAGGCAGACAGTCTATGTGTAGAAGGGGGTCTTAGAGCACTGAGCTGCTACAGAGACCACTGGAGTGTGGGGCTGCTCTCACCATCACTGTCCTATGGTGCCCGGCACACTTTGGGACAAAAGTCCTTAGGATATTACTTGCTCGAGTCAACTTGATATGCTTGTGGCCTCCAGTGAGCACAGGCTCACAAAAACGTAAGGACAAAATGTAGTCCGGTGGTTATTACGTGCGTGCCCTGGAAGCCGACTGCGTGAGTTCCGAGTGTGGTTTTGCCCGCACTAGCATTCAACCTCTGTGCCTCAGTTTCTCCCTCCTCTGTAAAAGGGGAATCATGTCAGCAGCCACCTCATGGGGTTATGATGAAGATTCCAGAAGACAATGTGTGTGAACTGTTTCAATAAACTGTAGCTGTTGTTATCAGAGGGGTTTACCATCACAATAATGCTTCCCATTCTTCATATTCAAAGAAGTACTAGATGGTAGCCCTCCTCCCAATACTGGGCGCAAGTACCACCGTAACCCGAACCATTATTAGAGATTAAGGACAGTGGCAGGCCTCAGGTGCTAGGAGGAAAAATAACATTTGGGATAGGACCTGAAAAAGTTCATGCCAAACGGGCATCGCACGGATGCGGAACCCCTCAGAACCACAGCCAGGGCTAAGTAAGATACACAGGCCCTAAGAACTTGGCAGGTGGATAGTGCCCTTGAGTAACGTTGGGTCTGCATTCTGCTGTAATGCCACCCCCACACCCCCCACCGTCCGCCAAGAAGTCAGTCAGCAAGGCAGGCAACTGGGAGTGGAAGACGCAAAAGGGCGTCTTCCGGTCCCCGTGGCAACGGGACCCCAGGGCCGGCCGGGCTTCTAGGGTGAGGCCCTACAATATACCCTTTGCCCTTCCACAGATTCGCTCTGAAAGCGAGGGCACGCGAAGCGACTCTTGCTGAGTTTGCTCGCCGCCTCCCTGCACCCGCCAGCAGGCAGCCCAGCTCGCGCTTCTCCAGACGGGAGGCGGGCGCGCGTCGGGGGCGGGGCTTGCTGTCGGAGGCGGGGCCTGCGGACGGGGCGGGGCCTGCGGGGCAGGCGTGGCCGGCGCACCGGCAACAGCTTGGCTCGGCGGCCGCAGAGGCTGGGCCGCAGCCAGGGCGCAGTGGCTACGGCAGCGCCCTTAAATAGCATCCGGAGCCGGGACTGGACAGGCAGTGGGCTGCGGTGACAGCCGGCGGCGCAGCGGCCCGGCCAGCCGAGGTGAGTGCTCTTGCCGCGGGGAGCCGCGTCCTTTCCGGCTGCGGCGCCGGTGGTCTCGGCGGAGGCGCGGGGGCTCCGGCTGCCCCGCGGGCCCAAGCCCGGGAGGCGGCGGCCGCAGCGGAGACGCGTGAGCCTCCCCTCGGCTCCCGGGGACGCTCTGCTTTTCCGGCCTCTGCCCTCGGCTCCCCTTCCCGCGGCAGCGGAGGCCTTCGGGCCGCCCGAGCCGCCGCCGCTTCCTGTGCCTGAGCCGGGGATGCCCCGCCGCCGTTTCCCGCGGGCTGCGCGGGCGCGGGGCTGGTGCACGGCGGGGTCCGGGTGACGCGCGCCGCGGGACCGGCCTCCTGTTTGTGTGGCGGCGGGGACCGGCCCGGCCCAGAAGCCGGACCCCGACCTTCAGATGCGAGGGATGATCCCGCGGGACTGGGGCCGGTGGTCTCTCGGCCACGGGCGTCCCTCCTGTCCCCGTGGCGGGGTTTTTGAGGCGCTCTCGGACCGCGCCTGGAAACATCGGAGCCGGACGGTCCTGCTACCTCGGCGTGATGGTGGCCCCTGCGCGGAGCGCTTGCAGGAGGGTCAAATGCAGCATCAAAAGCCGGTTGCCAAATGTAGAAATTCTCGCGGTGTCTCCAGAGGCGTGCCCATAGCCGCGGTACATAGCCGCGTTGGAGTCACTGATGTACGAAGCCTAGTGTCTTGAAATTAGGAAGCAGAAACGATACCTGTCTCCTTGCAGCGTAGACGAAGAGTGGTGGTAAATGACTTGAATGGACACGTGGACTAGAACCTAGAGACAGACACTAATCAGTGTGTATGTTAGAATCTCAGACCCCTGCCCCAGTCCACCTACTTTCAAGGTTATGGAGCTTAATTAAGACCATCATAAAAGGGCTCTTTGCCTTTAAAAGTTAACACTTTTTAAAAAAAAGCATCTTCTTGGTGCAGGAGGATCCAAAGTGCCCCCGACTGTCAATACCCTTCCATTTATTTATTTATTTATTTATTTATTTATTTATTTATTTATTTATTTATTGTCTTTGCTTAGCATGAGAAAAACAAGAAATCTCACAGTTTCCGACACAAATTTCACCTGTGATTATCTCAGTGTAAACAGTCATTTGCTTAACACAAACAAAACGTCAGTCAAAAATTTCTGGTTGATTCTGCACTTTCAAGTGGAGATGGCAGGTTAGTTTGGCAGATGAGTGGGGTCCAGGAGGTCGAACTTTTAAAGGAAAACTTGCTTCCCATCATCGTGGAGCCAGTCTATGGAAACGTTCTTTCTTGTCCTCTCTCAACTGGGAGAATCCCTTCCCAGTCTGAAACTTGACTCCTTATTTGTGGAAGGACTGCATTAGGCTAAAGTCTTTTGTGAGCTAAGATTCTATGACTGGAAAAAGAAGATCCTTAAAAGAAGCAAACCTCATACCTCCCTTCCTCACTTAAAATAATATAGACATATTATAGACCATATATTATAGATCTGTTTTCTGCATTTACTGTAAACAGAGAAGACTTTTTTTTTTTAATCACCCTTCCCTCACAATTATAAGCATTTTGACCTGTTTCCTTCCTGTCTCTGTTATGCATATTTTGGCAGTACTTTTATTATTCTTGCAGGCAGCCTGACTAAAAAGATACCTCTGGGCTTTTTAATTTGGGCCATTTAAGAGATAGCTACTTGGGACAAATGCAGGTAGGGACGGGTTTCTGTTTGTATCACAGAGGTAGAGTTTTCATAGCTATCTCTCTTTTGAATGAAGTGTGAAAGAACTGAAAGTGTCCCCGCATGCCACAGTGTCATGCCTCATGCCCAGGCCTTACTACATCTTTCATTTTTGATGTAGCTGTCTTGTGGAAAACGGACGTGTTCAGAGGAGGGGCCGGGGAAAGATCAGATTGTTTTGTCATCATAGCTGGGGATTTCTCTTCTCTCTCTTCAAGTTTCACTTTTCTGGAAAGGGCAAGACTATAAGAATACTAGTAATATCTGTTGATACTCAGTAACCTGAGATGAATATATAATTTTTAAGGTCAGTTGCTGAATATATTATGCAAGTTTGCCACATAAAGCATATGTCCATTATTCTTTTGCACTTACTCTCTCTTATATCCAAATTCTGTTGAGTTAGGATCCATTAATAATGTTTTATGAACAGTATTGTTTCGATGATACAATGGGTTAGACTCTTGTATTAAAAAAATACAGAGGAACTTCCTTTAAGGCAGCTCCAAGCTGTTGGTATCCTGTGGCCTAACCTGAAATCTTGGTCTTCAAGCCTTGCTCTCTCACGGGCAGGTCAGTCAGAGGAGATAGACTGAAGGTGCCAGAGTTTTTACTGAAGGTTATCACTCCAGCTTAGGCAGACAAACATCTTAGGGTCACTTTTCTTTGACACTCACTCCTGGAGATTACATCTCAGTGAACAGAGCTGATCTGAAGCTGCCAGTGGCTGAATTTAGTTTTAAACATTGTCATACTTAAAGGGGCCCTGAGAGCTTTTTTTTTTTTAAGATTTTATTTATTTATTTGAAAGAGAGATAGAGAGCTTGAGCAGGGAGAGAGGCAGAGAGAGAAGCAGACTCCCCACTGAGCAGGGAGCCCAACCTGGGGACCTAGGGCTACATCCCAGGACCCTGGGATCATGACCTGAGCTGAAGGCAGACGCTTAATGACTGAGCCACCCAGGTGCCCCCCTATCTGTGTTTTTCTAAACTTTTTTTTTTTACTTTAAGCATATAGTTTTAATTGAAGATAAAAATTTTAATAACTTAATTTTAATCACCTAAGTTATATTGTGAACATTTTTCCATGTTGTTACCTGCTCCTCAAAAAATGAGTTTTGAGGATGACTGCATGATGTGGTATATGGGATATGTCCCGATTTATTTACCCTTCTCCTATTGTTGGATATATATTTTTTAAAGATTTATTTATTTATTTTAGAGAGAGAGGGCGCGCGTGTGTGTGTGTGTGTGTGTGTGTGTGTGTGTGTGTGTGTGGAGGGGGAAGGGCAGAGGGAGAGAATCCTCAAGCAGACTCCCTGCTGAGTGCGGAGCCTAACCTGGGGCTTGATCCCAGGGCCTTGAGATTGGGACCTGAGTTGAAATCAAAGAGTTGGACGCTCAACTGACTGAGCCGCCCAGGCTCGATCCAATATTGTTGAATATTTAAGAATAACTATTTCACAACAGTTTGCCAAGCTTCTCATATATTTAAATGTATCTTTTTTAAAAATTAGGGCATGTTCTGCTCTAAAACTGTTGAAATTGACAATGGTCTGAAAATTATTATTATTATTTTTTTAAGATTTTATTTATTTGACAGAGAGAGACACAGCGAGAGAGGGAACACAAGCAGGGGGAGTGGGAGAGGGAGAAGCAGGCTTTCTGCGGAGCAGGGAGCCCCATGCGGGGCTCGATCCCAGGACCCTGAGATCATGACCAGAACCGAAGGGAGACGCTTAACGACTGAGCCCCCCAGGTGCCCCTTGAAAATTATTTTTGTTGGTGAATGATTTTAATGGACTTTTGGGTTCATGTGTTCTAGTCCAAAGCTGTTGAAATAAGGATTTCATGGTCTGGAGAGGGAAATGGAAAAAATTAGGGCATCAAGGGAGGAAATGTGGGTTGCTGTTTATACCATTTCCTCATTCTGGAAGGCCTTCTGATAAATGTATTATCTCTCCATATGCACAGTTTTGGCTGCGGAAAAAATGGGTAGTTTCCCCCTCAAGTTTGTTATGAGAGAAATATCGGTATATCTAAGGCCCAGATACCTCGAATACCATCTATTCTTTTAATAACTAGAGTAAAGACAAAGTTGCTGCAGAGACTAGTTTCTCCCTCAAGGCTCAGCTGTCACCTACAAAGCAGGGCAGTTATCAGCTGACTAATCTTGTGGCCACAGCCCCGGCGGGGGCAGGCTCAGGGCATGATAGGTGGTGATAACAGCCAACCCCGCAAGGCCCCGTTCTCAGTGGTTCTCATGTTTAACTCAGTTAATCCTCCCAACAGCCCTGCAAGGGAGGTCCTACTATTATCCCTATTTTACAAAAGATATAAAAACAGGTGCAGGGCTTAAGTCGCCCAAACCAGGATTTGAAACTACACAGTCAGGCTTCAGGGTCAGAGCTCCTAATTAATTGGCTCGGCTGCCTCCCTAGAGCTTGAAAGGTTCCTAGTCCAGGAGTGTCTGGAAAGTTCCAGGTTACCCAGCTAGTGGCGAGACTGAGGACAGAGCGGATTCTTTTTCCGTGTCACTGCTCCTTGATATTTCCGTCTCACTTTGACACTCTGTCTTATACCACCAGAGTGCTGAAAATGACAACAATTTTGGTTCAGCTTGGTTTGGTGAGCGGCAAGATCACCTGCTACACAGCTCCGACTTTCTAGAGAATTAAAGAGTAAAAGGCTTTGCCTGCCCTGGAAGTGGGTCTCCTAAGATGGGCGAACGGTTGTGGCACCTGCCCTGGAAGTGGGTCTCCTAAGATGAGCAAACAGTTGTGGCGCCTGCCCTGGAAGTGGGTCTCCTAAGATGAGCAAACAGTTGTGGCACATGGTTAATGCATCAAGTGTGTGGAAGGAAGAGAGTTCATGGCTGGGAACAGGGACCAAGGCTTAGCAGAGATGGTCAAGCACCACTCACTTAAGGAGGAGATCAGCCTCACCATGACACATAGATTTGCTTTCTCTTGCATATCTTAGGGTACTTTTTACCAGAAACAGACTTTCTCAGCATGTTTTAGATAAGAGAACAGAATAGTGAATTTTCAGTGGGTATGGGTGCCTTTTTTCCAGTAAAATTTTAGGCAGAACCCCAAGATAGCACACAAAAGCAGGGCTGCCACGGTCGAAGGGGGGAGGGGAGGGAACCCCAGCTCACACATGTTTGCTTGCCCTTGGTCACCCCAGTCTGAGGGACTTCCAAATGACCCCAGGCCCTCAGAACACTGAAATAGCCTAACTTGCTCCCTGGGCAGACCTGTTGTGTGGGAGATGGG